GCGTATGTGTTGATGGCTCAATCGTTTCCCCTCTTTTTGGTACCATGCGTCCACACTCGTCCGGTCTGAAAGACATTCCAATGTCGTTGCTATAGATCCTGGTACTGTGGATCAGTGAGTCGATGTCTCGCTCATTCCTGGCATACAGCTTGATGTCATCCATGTAGAGGAGGTGACTGATGGTTGTTCAGAAGTTATTGGCTGGTAGTTGGATGGGATTGTTCCCTTCTGGGGATCCTTCATGATCAGGACTGTCTGTCCTCGGGTTAACCATTCTGGGTGGGTCCCATCCGTCAGCAGTTGGTTCATTTGTTCTGCCAGACGTTCATAGAGTGCAGTTAGTTTCTTCAGCCAGTAGGTGTGGATCATGTCAGGGCTGTCCAGCTCTTCATACCTGCCACTCTTTCTTGGATGTCTGCCATTGTAATGGTTACTGGATCTTGTTGTGGGAGATTGCTGTGATCTGTTCTTAGATCCACTAGCCACTGAGCATTGGTGTTGTGATGCCTCTTTCTCCCATATGTTCTTCCAATACTGTTCAGTCAGCTCTGGGTGGGTCTGATCTTGTGTTACTACCCTTCCACTGAGAGTACACTTTGGATGGTTCGGTGGAGAACATCCGGTTTATCATCTGTGGGCGTGTCTGTTCTGCTTTGGTCATTTAGTTTTCAGTCAGTCATGTTATTTGTAGTCTTGTTCGTATCTGTCTTATAGTATGTTGCGTCTGGATTTCAGTACTGTCTTTGTCCTATGTCCAGTATCTGTTATATAGTTAGTCTGTGTTTTGGGGTTCAGTCATGTCTTGTGTCTAGTTTACTCTGTGTGTTTGTGCTGGTCGGTCTGGTACTGTCTGGTTGTGCGGTTATGATCTGTTTAGTTCATTATAATTTTTATCATTCTGCTTTAGCCTCGTGTAGCCTTGTTTATCATTTTGTTCATCCGCATCTTTTAGTTTACTTAATATCTGACTTTTATCTTAGATTTAGCTCTGTCTTAGCTCCTCGTTCTGTGTCTCAGTTAATATCTTAGTGTTTTCTCCGGGTCTGTGTACTTCTGTATTGTTTAACCCATTCCTGCTCAGAGTTCTGTCTTATCCCAGCGTCAGTCTGTTTTCCCTGTTGGTGTTAGTTTTGTTATGATCTGTCTGCTTGTGTCTGAGTTATTTTGTTTGTTATTTCTGATCTGTTACATCTCGTGTTATGTCCTTTGTTTAGTGTTCAGTAACTTGTGTTGTGTCTGTTACCCCAGTAATCCCTCTGCATGTCAGTCTCTCTCTTTTCCTCTTTGCAATCTCTGTCTGCCTGCCTCTCTCTGTTTTCCCTGCTGTCTCTCTGCCTGTCTCGTTAGTCTCATGTCCCTCACCTGTGTACTCCCTCCCAGCTCGTTAACTGTGTGTGTGTGTGTGTGTGTGTGTGTGTGTGTGTGTATATATATCCTTGCTTGTTTCCTCTCAGTCCTTGTCCGGTCATTATAGTGTGTTGTAGTGTTGACTGCTCGTGCTCATCGTGCTCATCGTGCTCATCGTGCTCATCGTGCTTGTTCCCCGTCAGTTGTTTGGATTTTCACCTGTTTCTGGATTTTTCTGTTGGATTACCTTGTTTGTCTGAACTGTGTTATTTTGGATCTCCTGTACACAGCCTCTCTTGTAAGTGTGCACGCTTTTTGTTTACATTAAAATATCGCTGAACTGTACCTGTCAGCCTATGTATCCTGCATTTGGGTCCACCAACCTGCTCTACCCTACATCCACCGTGACATTCTCCCTTGTATGTCTCTAGGCTGGTAGCCAGAGCGGTAAGTCTCCAGTGCCTCAGGTATCGACAGCTTGTTGTATTTCTTAGGTAGCCCCTTCCTTGCACCTTTCTGTAGCTCTGCGAGCTGACTAACTTCTCTTTGTGTTGCCTTGATCTTGGCCTCTAGCCTTCTCCTCCCGCAGGTAATGCTCTTTGTGGCTTGTGGTGTTCATCTTATAGCCAAGTATCTCTAGGATTACTATTCTTGCCGTGGCGTACATCAGCTCATTGGTTTCGGTTATGGCTTTAGTTCAGAGGGTACTTTCTCACTTAGCCTTGTGAGGATGATGATGATGACATCTCTCCACTGACCTGTCGTCCTGGCTCCCCCTTGCTGTAGCATATTTGTTGTACTTAATCAATCTCTAGTTGTGATAGCAGTGGCCGTTCGCGGATGTTAGAACACTGAGCTAGGAGTTGTTTCTTTGTCAGTGTTGATGATGGTTTTCGATGCATCCATATATCCCATAGTCTCTGCATATAGCCCCTCTCACCGGGATTGCTTGTATAGTAGCATTGCATCAGATGCATATTTTCTGCTCTAGTCCATAAATGTCTTGTTCCAGTAGCCCATTTGTCAGAATCAGCTTTATTGCCAGGTATGTGTACACATGAGGAATTTGACTCAGGATTGTACATTGCTCACAATGTGCCTACTCATACAAAATCACAATAATAAAAATAAGATCAGACACGGACTTCAGTGTAGACAACACAAATATACACTATGAACAAAAACAATATAGACATACTGACAAATAGTGCAGTGAGCAGAGTGCAAAGGATGCAGGAGTATGTACATGTCGGAGGTGGATGTGATATACAGGTACATATACATGCATAAATATACACAGTGCAATGAAGCATAGTGCAAAGGATGATGGAATAAATAAGTATATTGTGCAGGAGTTATGACTTGAGGTAGGTGGATTGGTATACAATATCTACAATATAACAGTATGAACAGCTCTGAAATGGAGAATGGTGAATAAATAATAAGTGTTAGCCAGTAAGCAGGTGGCTGATTAGAGACAGAGTTACTGGGTTATTTCACAAGCATTGTTCCTGACACTGTGAGTCAGAAATCAGCTGTTCATCATAGTGATGGCTTGTGGGAAGAAGTCATCAGAGACATACATACATGCATACATACAGGGGATGGTTGTAACACAGGTCAGATGTAACATGTCCAATCAGAAAAAGTATGACTCACCTGATTCACTCTGCAGATGCTCAGTTTAGCCCTATTCACACTTTTACACTTGTCAAACTTAAATCATGTTTATTGCATGTCTAGATATCTTTCTTGCAAGATGTTTAGTGCTAATGTTTTAGCTGTAAACTAGTTCATGGCTACAAGAGTTTGGGTTAGTTATAACAACAATGAAAAAGTTACAACCTACATCAAGAAAATGTTTAGTTATATTTATGTGCTTTCTTTAAATTTCAATGTGTCTGACACACACAGTCATGTTTAATTGTTTTATATGTTCAAAGTAGACCTAAGTGAAAGGCTACATCCACACTACTACCTTTAAAACTCTGTTTTAAAACGAAAAAACGTTCTCCGTCCACACCAGCATTTTTACTGTGTATCAGAATTGATCTCAGTCTATATTAAAATGACTGAAAACGCACATCAGGTAGCCATTCATTTACACTGGGCATGCGTGCACCGGTGTATACAGGAAGCAGAAAGTCTACTCTGCAGTGGCGGAAGATTCAGCGAAAGAAGATATTTTTGCATTGACCCACAACAAGTGGGGACTGTTACTGAAAGTAACACGGGAGTATGAAGCGACTGTGGCACAGAGTTGTTGCAAAGCAAATACGGCAACATGCACAGTAAAAAATATTTCATTAAAAATACCAACACAAAAACTGTTGGTAACATTGTGTTTTTGCTTTGCATGACTTGTAAGACCCAGTCAGAATGCTAAATGTGTATGTCTGCGTCATCGTCTTTAAAGTCCTGCGTTTTCGCCTGTCCATACTAATACGCTACCCCAAAGCTACTGTCATTACTATGACAGACAGTAACTTAGACACTTGGATGACCACCCCACACACACACCAATTGTGTTAAAAAAATTCAAGTGTTGAATAAAAATCTTGCAGCTGTATGGTGGACTATATAGTGAGCTCGCCATTTTGTTGTGCTGTCCGAATGCAAGAATTATACCATATAGAGTCCACTCACTGATGAAAAAATTTGTCCACCAACCAATTGTGCAACAGCAATGATGTAATGAAAGGCTCAGAGATAATCGGAGTAGCGTTGTTTTCATTGTGCAGTTGAGCACACTATATAGTCCTTTACATGGAACACCCTAGATAGGGAGAAGACCATTTAATAGCATTTACATTTACTCATTTGGCTGATGCTTTTATCCAAAAATCCGGGCCTCTCACACCAAAGGCATGTGTGTTATCCCCTGCTCCATTGCCACCCCATTGCAGATACATGTAACTAGTTGTATCACATTTTGAACCCACTCTGAGATACAGACTGAAATGTCAAAAATGTCACAACCATCCCCGGTCTCCCCTAAAGGCAGGCAGGCAGGCAGGCAGGCAGGCGGGGGGCAAATTAAAGAAAGTGTGGAGAAACATCAAATGCAGATGCTTCCTTTTATCATCATATGCATCTATGTAGTGATGTCTTTGTCCTTTTATTGTGCCTGGCTGTGTTTGTTTTTCTTTCTATCTGCTGCACTTAGGTCTCTCTTGCAAAAGAAAAATTTCTCAATTAGATTATCTGATAAATAAAGGTTTTATTATATATATAAAGGAGGGAATATATTGTGGAGGAATAGTGTTCATCCCTCCAATAGAGTTCCACTGACTTGGCAAGGAGCACTGAAGCTCGTGGTGGCCTGACTCAATATAAGACACATCATGTTGGCTTTTCCTTTTATTAGTCACCCATCTGTATGTGGTCCTGTTCGTTTCCATATGGACGCTCTCTTATTGCGTCCATGGTAAAAGGTGATAATCCCAAATACAGCCATCAAACATTTCGCGCGAAAATGGCTGGAAGTGGTCACGAGAGTCTGATGACGTTATAACTGAAATGAGGCGGTCGTTAAGAATACTCATTTTTCTATTGGGCAGCATGATCGCACGCGTCGAGTTAAAAAACGTAGCGTTAAATTTGATTGGGCGGTCAGATTATTGGGTCGTCCCGCTCCACTCCGCCCCCAGCAGCTAGGCTTTCCTGCGCCAGCAGCGGTGTGTCACCGAGGCTAGGCTGCTGCCGGAGAGACCCGGAGTCAGGGCAAACACCCAACCAGTTAACCCAAACTGGCATCGCAGTGGGGCTGAGGGGCTGCCCCTGCGAGTTTTAAACTTGAACATCTAGGTTGGATCCTACGCCTCTCTCTGTCACCACCGCCTGTCCTCCTGATGTCGGATTTCAAGCTCGGGATCGTACGGCTCGGCCGTGTGGCCGGGAAGGTGAGCTGGATCCCAGGGCTGCCATGTGCGGCCGGGGATGGGCCCGCGGAGACCACAAAAGGCGATGGAAAATTAGTTTTTTGATGAGTCTGTGCTAGTCAACCACTAATGGTTATCAAGCCGTTGCGTACGCGGGAGTAGTTCGGCTTTACCGATTTTAGCCGCGTTTGAACGGATTAGAGAAGCCGGCCGTGCCGAGCCAGACTGGTTTTCTGTTCCTCCGCCGCCACCAACACAGTTTCGCTATGAAGCTAATGCTAACTAGCATGTAGCGTGGGACGTTAACTGTCGGCTAACGTTAAACGGTGGAGTACTGCCATAACGGTAAACACATGGGTTCTTATTGTGTCGTTACCGGTGTCGGGTAGTGAAGGAACGGAGACGACAGTTGTTTTTCGACGGAGGGTCATAGTTAATGTTAACGGTGGTACAGTTAGCAGCGACACGCTAGCTATGTTATTTGGATTACACGTTGGAGTGTCTGTTAATGAGGAAGCCCTGCTCCATCAACTGATTTCTTTTGTGCAATGTGACAAAGCACCGGCAGGACACTACTCAACAGCTGGGGCCGAAAACATGCATCGTTATTTTGGCTCGTTACATAAGTATCTCTCCACACAGATGTGACGTTAAACTAAGGTTGAATGTTGGTCAAGAAATGCTGCTGGTCCCACATTTAACGGATAAACTGTGCAGTCCCTCTTGTTTAAGCTGTGGCGACTCAGCTGCTGAGTGACAGTGCTCCTGTCAACAGTCATGTAACTAATAAGCATGATGTCACTCCTGATCTTCACAATAGCCTGGCAGACAAAGTGTCACATTGCACGTTAGGACCTTTTGGTATGTGGACAGCACCACCCATGCTGTTTTGCAACGTTACCATGCTCAGTGTAGCGTGGGGTTCTGTGTTGGTATGCTGTCACGTGCATTTGACCCACCTACTGAGTGCTCAGGTAGTCCATAAATGGTTAAAAGTAATCTGTTGTTCCTTTAAAAGAAAACATGTTGCATCTGGATTTGAGAGGAAACCAACAGTTTGGTTGGTTTAAAAGAGGCTCTTGGTATGAACATTTATGATGCTTAAGAGAGGGTCCTTCTGTTTATATTTGTGTGGCAAATGTCACATGCAGTGCAAATTTCTTCCAATCATTTGTGGCCTCTGCAAACATGCCTCTATTCATAAACAGTGTTGTCTTGACTTTTCAAGTCTGTACAAACCAGTTAAATTGGAGCAATTAGTAAATAATTTGCCCTGCTTCTTGGTAACTTCAGTCAAAGTTCTCAGAAAGTCATAGCTAAATAATATGAGGTTGTTCTGCAATAGCCAATGATTATCACTAATTGAAGTCTTGATTTATTTAATATCTAAGTGACTGTAGTTTCAAACTACTCAAACAGCTCTATGTGAATGCTTGAAGATGGATAGATGGAGCCAGTTATGAGCTTATAGAGTCCTTCTTGGGCCTTTTCCCCCTATGGGTTCCTTGTCAGTGTCCCGAAATGTTGGATGTTAATGAGATGGCGTCTTGCTAAAGCTGCCCCATGAAACGATAGCTGCTCCTGTAACAGTTGTGGTTCTTACAGTTTTTATCTCTCCATTCTCTCATTGCAGACAAAATACACACTGATTGATGAGCAGGACATACCGCTTGTGGAAAACTATGCGTTTGAGGTAAACTACGTGGATTCAACTGTTTCTTTTTACCACTCATTTGATAGTGCCAGTGTTAAACAGTTACATTATTTCCTTTACAGGCTCGCATGGAGGTAGATGCGGATGGCAATGGAGCTAAGATCTTTGCCTACGCTTTCGACATTGGCAAAGGCCGCTGGGCAGGAAGGCCACTACATGAGCTCCTCTGGTGAGTAATTTGTTCCTTATAACAGGTGTGGAATAAATTTTCTTTTGAGCATCTGGGGTATGACCCCCTTTACCCCTGGCATTAAAATGTGTCTCATATCCAGAGTGTATCTAGATATGACTTTAACCTGATTACATTTATACCTGGTATTAATGTGTCTCCAGTGTGCACATTGAGATCCGATCGCTTTGTCCAGCTCAAACAACCAAACGTGACATCCTCCCCTTGTTTGCACTGGTCAAAATTTTTTTTTACTGAAGTTGTTGGTATAGCTTCACTTTAGTTTGCTATCTTAAGGATCTCTGTTAGTTCAATTCACCAGTCCTGTGTATCTCACAAGTTTTGAGTTGACAGTTGCTTGTTATTGGTCATTCATATAATAGTATAGTATCCCATGTTTATCAGCACATATATTGGCACTTTGTACCTTGATCTACATAGTATCTGACCTGCAAATAACTTCTTGAACAAGAAGGTCCTAAAAGCTCTGCTTTGCACTTTTTACACAAGACCAAGTATTCTGAAATAAAACAAGGAAGTGGCCAACATGCAGTCCTTGAAGCACATCTTCATCAGTGAATAACACCCTCATATTCCTGAGCTGTCTTTATTTTGTAACTGGTAACTGATGTATGATCTGGATACATGTCTTGACCCAGGGAGAAGCACAGAGGAGGCATTGCCCCCAGTTTTCAAGTCATCCATATTAACTCTGTGACTGTGGACAACCGGCTAGACAACCTGCGACTGGTACCGGTGGGCTGGAGTCCCAAGCCGGAGGAGATTTCCAGCAAACAGAGGTAGGGCTACAGCTACTAGTGCTGAAGGCTGAATTATGATTCTGTAGCTCAGTAGGAACGTGGAGTACTGCACAAGCTGGATGTTTTGTCTGTAGGCACAGCCAGTCTGAGTCTTTAACGCCCTAGCTTAGCCTAAGCCTGACATCAACAAAAATATTTTTTCTTTCAGGGTAAAGGATATGACCATTTGCTCAGACAGAGTAATCTGTATATCTGCTTGTTTGTTTTTGCCATATCCAGACCTATTAAAACTAAATACTGACCAAAGTATTTAGTTTACTACTGAGGTCAGTCAGACAAATTTAGCAATGCATTAGCACCATGTTGGACGCTGTATGTATAACTTTTGTTTCTTGGTTAGCTGACCCTTTGAGACTATTAAGAGTAATATATATGTTTATAACTGGCTTCTTATTTCTTAAAGTAGTTAAGAAAATCAAACACTTTTAAATCCAAAGGAACAGAGTGGACTGAAAGGTCTTCGTTAGAAGATGAAAGTTTGATTATTTTGTCATATGTCTTGTGTAAAAGTCCACTATGTGATGTGTCTCAAGGCTTATACATAACTATTTGTTGTTAAACATGTAACTTTCTTGTCCAGAGAGCAGTCTCTGTACTGGCTGGCCATCCAGCAGGTACCGGCCGACCCTGTAGAGGAACAGTATCTGGAGCTGAGCCGCACACGCTATTACAACGCTAATGGGGAGCTAGTGGAGGAAGAGGAGTGCTCCTGCACTTACTATGAGTGTCATTATCCTCCTTGTTCACTCATTGAGAGGAGGGTATGTACTGTAACTGGCATTCCTGTGAAACCTGCATGAATTTCAAGTCATATTTTAATGAATTAAATGCATAGTGAAGTCCTTTCCCTTCATTTATTCAACAAGTGGGAGATAAAGTACAAGCCTTTTCCCTATCATAAACCTATCCACATGTTGACGCATACAGTAAATGGCTACCTGGGATCATGGACCGAAGCATTATCCACACAGAGCAATAGATGATCTTGTTCCTCATCTTTCCACAGCTCCGGGAGTTCAACATCTGCGGCCGCTGCCAGGTGGCGCGCTACTGTGGCTCCCAGTGCCAGCAGAGGGACTGGCCCGCCCACAAGAAGCAGTGTCGCGAGCGCAAGCGGGTGCTGGCCCTGGAGTCGGAGCCCGAACGATGATCTGCCTTCATCCTCGCCTGGGAGAGGAAGGAGAACTGGGTGGGGTGGTGGGAGGGTTAGACTTGTGGGAGGGGAGCGGGGATGAAGTGCAAAATGGGGGCGGGGGGGAATGCTGACAAGAGACTTAACAACAGAGGACAATGTTGGTTGCTCAATTGTTTTGATGGATTCAGGGGGTAAGAAGATGGAGGAGGGGAAGAAAAACAAAGCAAAAAGACATCTGCCACTTCCCAGAACTGGTAATTCTCCATAGCTTGCTTTTCATGTGGACGACGGGCGCACGCGGGGGGGAAGGTATTATTTGCTTTTTATTTTTGTCTTTATTTTTCTCGAGGATGGAGACCCTCGAGCTCTACCTGCTGCTATGGTTTTGTATGTGGGAGGGGGCGAGTTGTCTTGTTGATGAACTGGACAAGCTTCTTTTGGACCACAGTACAGACAGTTGTGTTGTCATCCACTTTTGTTCCTCCACCCAGCCACAGGGGTGTGGTGACATCTGTGCAGACGGGGGACCCAGGAGCTGCAGTACCTGTCGTTCAGCTGGTACAATGGGACATGGACCTTTTCACTGTATCGCTCCCTTTCTGACCTCTGTGGTGCACATGGCTGCTGTCTTCATTGGCATCGACACCTTAGCCACCACCCTGTCTGTTGCACCCCCCCCCCACCCGATAGATTTCACTGATTGAATCACACTACCAGTATTGAGTGGGAGCGTGTGTGCGTGCGTGCGTGTACTGCCAATATGTACTGAAGGACATTGACATGGTCAATGTGGGTTATGGATAGGGTTAATGTATGTCCTTTCTCTTCTTAAAGGGGCCATATTGCACCGTTTTTAAATTTCATATTTAATAATAAATTGGTGGGTTAAAAATAATTTCACTGTTCTATAATAAAGTAGCTGCCAAATTAAGTTAAGTTTTCTCAACCCATGACTTTTTATTTTTGTCATATTCATCTGACTTGTTTAGTTGTTTAAGACCTGGTACAACATTTTAATCACCTGAAGTAACTAGGTATATAACTTTTTTTTTTAAACGGCATTTTCAAAATTCTCCTGTTACTATTCATAAAGTGGTGGTGTTGGTACTTTGACAAGCCTTTTTTTCACGATCCCACAGAAACAAAGTTTGTCACATTGATCACAGAATATGAAACTGCTTTTTTGTGCTCACAAAATAATTTCATGTTCTTAAGACACAAAGTATCTGTCAAACTTTTCTGATCACAAGGAAACAAAATGGGGGGGGCGATCTCTACCAAAGTCTGCTATGACCTGTAGTTGCCACGCCTGTGTCAACTGGTTTAAACCCTCCAGTCACTCTTAGTTTGCTGGTTTTTAACAGACACCTGTCTTTTCAACTGTACTTTTTACATCTGCAGGGTTATGATATGATGTGTGTGTGTGTGTGTGTGTGTGGGGGGGGTGCTCAGTTTCTTGTGTGAGAGTTTGCTCTGTTTGGTTTTTTTGTTGTGTTTGTTGTTGGTTTTTTTTTTTTGTTTGTTTTGTTTTTTTTTTGAAGAAATTCTATCAACGGAGCTATATTTATTTAAAACATTTAATTGTGAAACCTGTTTTTGTCCTGGTGATATTTGAAGGCAAAGGTTATATAAAAGTGGACAATATGGGACCTTGATGTCTCATCTTTGTGGGCAGGGAGTGGGACTGAACATTTCAACCCCTACTTGGTTGCCCCCCCCCCCCTTCCTGGTCCTGAATGAATGAGTCCTCCTCGGTGTTGCCCTTCCAGATTTTCCATGAAAACACTGCACACCATCATTGTACTAAAATCTTCCATGTGAGAGACTGGGAGTGTAAAACTTGAATTCCCCCCTTTACACACCTTTGGTAAAATTCTATTATTGAGAGTGGTTTTATGAACTGAACCAATGACCTGCTATTGTTTTCTAAGACATGGCAGTCCAAGTGAAATTGTTCTGTGTCAACTTTTATCCTAAATTGCCTGCCTTGTATTACCTACAATGCACACCCGCTTATGTGTCCTCTTGTGTTTTCGCAGAGGAGTCCAGACACCTGGTAAGCATGTATTTCACAGACGTACATGCGACTTGTTGATTGTTTATTTTGTGTGTGTGTGTGTGTGTGTGTGTGTCTCAACAGGTTATCAACACTGCACTAAAATTTGGCTCCGATGTTTAGCGTATTTGTCATAGATGGGTTGAAGGGAGGGGTGTGATTTTGGAGTGTACAGATTGTGTCTGAAATCATTTTGTTTTGTAAGAATATAAACATTAATCACCTAGAAATAAAGAGCTACAATATGTGAATGGAAGTACAGTTGGCGCTAACTGACGGTTGCTTTTCCAATGTTAAATGATAATAAATAAAATGAACCTCATTGGTTGGAGTCGGCTTGGAGTTGTTCAAAGTGTGACTAATACTGGTAAATATGGGAGTGCAGTGTTCTTAGAAACTGTTGATTTAAATTCAAGGATGCTTTTGTGTGTGTGAATAGGTAAATAAAACTGAAGAGCGTTCTGCGGAGCTAGAAAAGCAGCAGGACTGCACTAGCCAGTGCACATTTATATGATAACACTTTACTTTAACCACCCCTATTTAGTATTTATAAACCTTTAAAACATGGTATAAAACACATATTGTAGTTTTAAGCAGCTGTAAGGACATTTTAAGTGTTCATTATTGTACAGTGTGAACAATTATAACTTCTATAAAGACCCATTACATATTATTACAACTGTGTTTACTGTTATTTATTTTGTTTATACAGCAGCCTCCACGTTCTGGTGCCCACAAGAGGATTTATATTTGTTAACAAGCAAATTTACAACTGATATTTGCTTACAATTCCATTTGAGTGTAGTATAAGTCATTTATTAAATGTTTATATAGCTATAAATGCTGAATTGGGGTGGTTACAGTTATTTTTTTACTGTATATCCCACCGGTGCTGGACTTCTCATGGGTATGTTACAAATATTTTAAAGATCCACCCAAGGATTCAGAAAATTGCCCATAAATGTTAAGTCTGTCCCTGAAAAGAAGAGTAAATCATTAAGCATCGATAGAGAATAAATCAACAACAATTTTCATTAGAGATTAATAAAGTGATTATCAAGTAAAACATTTGCTGGTTCAAGCTTCTCAAATCTGAACATTCTCTGTTTTATATAACTGTAAATTAAATATCTTGATTTCATAATTTTCTGGTGTTTTGTCAAACTATATATTTTGAAAGAAATTATCAAAAGATTTAAAAAAAAAAAATCTTTAGTTGTAACCCTAGTTATGTCCTCCCATTTTTGTGTAAAGTGGTTTTACATCCTTTAACGGTTGTATCTTTGCATAGATGAGGTTTGGATTGGAAGATGCAGCCAAAGGGGTAATTTATACGATGCTGGAGTCCTGATATTTGATCTCCTGCTTACACTAAAACATTTCCTCCACCCAACCCAGCCCCACTCACTGATTTGATGGTGAACTGCACATTGTTCTTAAAGATGTAAATGTTGATATTCACTGCTGTTAAAACTGATTTAACATCCAGATTGTGGATTGGTACTTTAGTGCTCCAACCAAATCCCCATCATGGTACCTAATGGAAATCTTGATAAAGTCCAGAGGCCTGTGAGGAACCTTATAATTTCTCACACCTTGCTGCTGATAGATAACCACCATTAATACTAAAAACTAGTTTTTCTTGTTAATTTGTTATTTCTACGCAATGTTAATAAGTTATAATAATGAATTAAAAATAAAGTATCAGACTTTCTCAGAGCTGTTTTAGACCATGTTGATGTAGTCCTTGTTTTCAAACATACTAAGCTAAACTCTGTGGCTTTATCACTTGTGTCTCCAGTCTATTCCTTCTTCTTTCTGCTTTGTATGCCCAGCTGCTCTGCTGTAGCTGTCCCGTAACTTAAGCCTCTGTGTTGTTACTTGTGTCTCAGCAGTAGGTGATTTCTCTCCATCTGCCTCTCCTTCTTCCCGCTCATTGAGGTCACTGTGGTGTCAAAGTTCATCAGACGGGGTCACAGAGGGTCAGAAGGCTGTGCTGTTGTGGCAGGCCTGAGGTCACACATAGCATGTAACAGACACAAAGATGGGTTACTGTGATGGCTTTATTTAAGCACCATCTTAAACTTTAGACTTAATGCTCCTGTACGTTAACAGTTTATATTAATTTGCACAGTAACACAAAATAGATATCCTTGCTTAGTGGCTAAAGACGAGCAATACAATATTAGAAGCACCAGATTCAAAGTGTGATGTGTGGAAATGATCAATAATGACAATAATAGGTAGTTTTGGTGACTGACATTTTGTTTTCCATGTTTGGAAGAAGAAGGAGTCATAACTTTTGTTGATCTGAATCTCTGAACATTTAATTTCTGTCCATCCATCCATCCATCCATCCATCCATCGTCAACCGCTTATCCTGCGTACAGGGTCGCGGAGGGCTTGAGCCAATCCCAGCTGACATCGGGCGAAAGGCAGGGTACACCCTGGACAGGTCGCCAGTCCATCGCAGGGCCACACATAGACAAACAACCACTCACACCTAAGGACAATTTAGGGTCACCAATCAACCTAGGCCGCATGTCTTTGGATGGTGGGAGGAAGCCGGAGCACCCGGAGAGAACCCACGCAGAAACGGGGAGAAAATGCACCCACAACCTTCTTGCTAACTACTGCACCACCGTGCCGCACTTAATTTCTGTCCCTCTGAATAAATTTATATTTTATAGTCAATGCTAGTGGTTCCCAGTCTGTGGTCAGACAGATCACAATTATTGTCAGATAAAACACAACGGCTCTAACTACAAGTCTAGACATTTCAGTTTGTGTTAATGTCAGTATCTGTACCCTTTTTTCCAAAAAATGTAACATTTACATTGTGTGCTGAATTTTAACAACATACGTTACATTGAGGAGCCACATGACTTACATTTTAGATATTATGACCTTCTCTCTCCAAGTGGCTATCATTTGTAGCCTGTAAGCAGTGGTGGAAAGTACAGTGAGGTATAATACTTAATTCCAATTTTCAGGTATTTTCTGCTACTTTATATTACTACTGCACTACATTTCAGAGGGAAATGTTGTAGCCTACTTTTCACTATACTACATTTATTTGAAAAATATTTATATTTATATTTAAATACTTATAATATTTGTTAGTAGTAAGCTTGCAGTTTTAGATTAATAGTATAAAAATATAATAAACAAATTGTTTTATTATAGGTTAAGAAAAAACTATTAAAATCCACAGCAGTGTAAAGTCATTAAAATGAGCCCCACTTTTCTTTTTCTTTTTTTTAAACTTTTGATGTTTTAAGTATATTTAGATGCTACCTTTACTTTAGTAGAATGTTGTATGCTGGAATAACAGTATTTTAATTAATTATTCTGACAATAACAGTAGTTATATAATATAATTATTAACAGTATTATTTTTGTTTGTTATACGGTTTCTTAATTATTTATTTTCTCGTTGATCTAATTTAATTTTAGTTGTCACTGATTTGTTTGTTTTTTGTGAGATGCCTTTTTAATTTATAATAATCAGGATTTTTGTGACCAGCACAAGCTGTCTTCCTCTGCAGTACCACCTCCCCTCCATCTGGCGTCGCTAGTGTTTTACACAAACTGCTGTTCCTCTCATTTTCGGTATTTCTTGGTTCGTTTGTAGCACGGAAGTTTTAAAACATGGGTTATGTACTTTTTTTGTCTATGGTTATATATACACCCTCAGCATGAGCCGGGAGCTAGTGTTATTTTTTACCTAAGAATTGAACCTCTACCTTCACAAAAGCCAACAAAATGGTCAATATCGGTCTTACCAAAGTGGACGATGCGCTGGCAGAAAAACACCCGGTGATTTTTGTTTTTACCTTTAAAAGAAAAATCATTGCAGTCTGTTGATCTCTGGAGGTCAAAATGAACTAGCTGCTGCATATATTAAAACCTTTTTATATACAGTCTATGATTAAAACCTGTGTAATATACGGGAAATAGCATAGAAATGTTTTAAGAGGGTCAACTGTGTGGTGAAAGCTGCTGTGGTTTCCTCACTTTCAGGGTTTAGGAAGTTATGCTGCCTGTCAGTCTCACGCCTTCATGAAGGGGACTGGGAGCTTTGTACTTGGTAAGTAGACTAATGTGTTATTTACAACACAGTTAAAAAAACACTAGACAATACTGTGTATTTTCGTGTTTTATTCGATTATCATCACTATGCAAAACATTATATGAGATTCTTTCACTTTTCGGTCCCTGAACAAACAAATTTATATATCATTAAATTTAACTGAGTCAAATTGTTACATGTCTATACCAAACACTTACATGAGGACCAGTGAAACTAGACAAAACATTACTTTGTACTATGTATACCACAAGAGGGAGCAATATCTTGTATGTTTTTGGTATAAATAAACCTGGCAGCTGAAAATGACAGCTTGGTTTGACTTCTATGAACTTCACAGTGATCTGTGATTTCTCATATCCTACCTAAACAGTTATTTATATACAGTATATTGACATTGGAAGAAGGCCATTAAATAAATATTTGTCCTACTGTTTTAACCATCCTGACTGTTATCGTTGGTGGACACTGTCATTGCTGTCATAATCCACCTGTATACGAAGTTTGAATGTTCATCATGTCTGTTAGACGTGCCATTGAGATGTCTTGTGTTGCTTCTACAGGTGCTGCTGGTTTATTTGCTATTCAGAAGGTTCTTCAGAGGAAGCTTCCTTATCCTCTTCAGTGGAACCTACTCATTTCAATAGGTGAGAAATAAAATGTGGGCTTTAAATAGTAACACACAAGACATCAACAAATATTTGCTCTCTAGCGAACCGTACTTCCTCTCAGCTTACATCTCTTCCTCTCTCTCCTCTCTCAGTGGCGTCGTCAGTGGGAAGTTATGTAGTGACTCGCTGGGAAACGCAGAAATGCTCAGACCTTTGGTTGTTGCTAGAAACAGGCAAAGTCCCGGACAGATCGTCACCGCAGGGTGAGTGCAGCGTGTGGCTGCAGACCTGCTCGCCATCCCTCATGGCTCAGACTGAAATGATAATGAGAGTGTTTTGTGGTAGTGGCTGTCTTTTTCGATCAGCTCTCTTCTGACAGTTTTATGCTGTATGTTTGCCTGTGTCTGTTTGTCTTTCAGTGTCTAAACCAGAGGAATCAAAAGGACCTGAGAAGACAAAATATGGCGATGTGATGGAATGAACATAGTTTTAAACACATTTTTGCATCTACTGTATATAACTGCACCTTTTCAGAGAATGTACTATGGTTGAGTGATATTCAGATAAGCTGTTTATTAACTATATAGAGAGTGTGAGGTAGTACGTACTGTACATAACCTTGTTTTTATTTTACCTTCTACATGAATGAAGTGTCAATTTTTCTGTTGCAGAGTTTGTGGAGCTTTTGAATTTCATAACTGCTTTACTGTGTGGATAAACAGACGAGTTTCCTGAATCAGAGTTCAGGAATTAGTTTGGGTTTTTCAGAAGAATCCCCTGTTAAGCCTGTGATCCGGTATTATTATTTGGATGCATTTGTTTGACATGCAACAGGAATTAACGCTGCACTGCCAGAACCAGCCACTAGTTGTCACAATACATCCTATGGGACAACAGAGCTGTGTGTTACTGGTGCCTCAACCAAACTAGTATATGACTAGTTTCTGTTTGCAAGTGTATGATCTAAATTAAACATTGATCATTTTAATTATCCGTGTCTTGAATTACGTGGAACAAATCATTGTGTAATCATTCATCGTTTTAAATATATAAACATTATTAGCTGCAGTGCAATGCACATAAAATCATTTACTGCTGTTGCTTTAAGCCACTGCATGTTCAGTCGTCCTTTTTCTGTTCAGTGATGCTGTTATGAACCCTGCAATACCTCAGGATGACCAAATATTAATCCTGTTCGGATTTATATCAATTTGGCATTCGTGCAAAAACATCCACTCCATGAGGTTAGGTGCTAATTTAGAATGACAGCACAAGCAATAGGTTAGGAGGATTAAAAGATGTAAGAGGAAATCTTGAAGGCATTGCAAATTCAGGCTTTGTATTTTTTTTAATAAAGAAATTGTTGCTGCATTTTTACAAAAATAAGAACTGAGAGGAGGAGAGAATAAGTGAGTAAAAGTGGCATGTTTCTGTCATTTTAACTCTGTTCTCCAGTGGGAAATTTTAGATCGACCTCCATCCTGCGAAGGATTTTGAAAGGTTTGCTTTATTAATGTGTAAAAACATTCACAATCCCACTCTTTGTTGTATATATTTTTTATTGTATTCAGAGTACAAAAACATAACATTCATCTGTCTTCCCCACGGACACAAAGACACCCATATGATCATGTTTTTAACTAAACTGAGAGGGGAAAATATTACAATGTACCAGGTACTGTGCAGCTGTCAGAGTGGACCTCTTGCCCAGCACCTCTAGCCCAAAATCATCATAAATGCGAAGTAAAAATATCAAAGAAATACGCCAAAGTTACAAAGATGTGTCAAAATTATTATCGTATCTTCAGGACAGGAAATAGTAGGACAAACTGTACATGACTTGTCCCATGCTATACTGGATGCCTAAGACACCTTTATTGGTTTTGACTAAGGAAATTAATCAACAAAATTAAAAAAAGATTGATAGACAGGTGGAGTAATTAATTAATATCTAGGGCATATTGCACTTTTATAGCAGCCAAATCACAAATACAAGCAACATAAGGCCACTTTGAGGTAGATAAGTAACGGTGAAAACCTAAATAAATAAACTCATTGCTGCTAAACTAAAAAACTACATTTTTATAAATACAATGCCTACTACTGTTATGTATAGCAGCAATGCTGCAAGATGGCAAGGTGCTTCATTGGAATTGCATATATGAGTGTTGAAAATAAGAAAATAACACACACACAATACCCAGCTTTATATGTGGCACAAATGGGAGTAGAGCTAATCCTGCTTTGGCAAGTACCCAGATTCAAAGGTACTACCATTTTGAATTTAAACCTGCCACCTTATATCTGTTAGAAGACACAACACACTATGAGCTTATCCAGGTGCAGCACTCTCCCACTTTATAAAGATAGATGGTATCAGCTGTATACATTTAAATAGTTGAATATTGAGTAGAGGATAAGTTCCTTTAATATCTCTGTCCAGATCCTTAAGAGCTGGGGACACTTGGTCTTTCTTTTGATTCAAATCTGCAACTGCTGGCAGTAGTGCTGAACATGTCTCTAAATGCATGTAAATGAGATCTTTCATTTTCAAATGTGCGAACATCCTCTCATGACATTTAGGCTCAGTCTTTTTGTCTTGGTAAACATGTCCACTAAAGAAAAATGTGATTGTTATTACATTCTGCTTTCCTTAAACCACACTCTGACTCCACTTCATTTGCATAGCTGAACTAGTTTGTACAATAAGGTGTTAGCAACATAAATTCTGCACCATGCAGTGCAGGCCATTGAAACAATCAAGTCTTTCAAGCATGCTTTAACACCTCGAGTGAATGAAACGGCCAAAGTCCAGGCCTTTGAGTCACAAGCCAAAGAAAAGTCCACAAATTCTGCAGTGATTACCATTTTTACAGTGGTTGTAAAAGACAAAATGTATGGATTGGTGATCCCCATAGTAAAGGAAATCTGAATAAGGGAAGATCTTGGCTTCGTTTTAATGTTCCTTTTTCCTTCAACATCTTTGTGCAGTCTGAATCCACCCCCACTCTTGCATCCCGTCGCTCTCGTCCTCCCACTGTAATTCAAATCTGATTTAACACCTCCAAGATTTGCAGGTTTGGAATCCTCTTTCTGTGTCTCTCTCCGTCTAAAAAAAAGGCTTCATGAATTGAATAAGCCCTCAAATCCTTTGTCACATGCACACTGATGCTGCTGAAGGAAAAGACTTTAGAGAAACAGAGAGCAAACAGGAGATAATGAGAGAAAAGACTGCATGTGTACCTAAGTGTGTTACACTGGACGACTGACTGGCCAGTGGAGATGAGGATCAGTACACGTCCAATAACTAAAAAAAACAGCGGTATGGACTGGCCTTTTGGCACGCTTGGCAACCAGTGGCATGGTTTATAAAGCCTACAGAGTGTGTGTGTGTGTGAGTGTTTGACTGCCCTGTGCAGCAGTGCATGTGCGTGATAACATGAGAATGAGAGATGAGGAGACCAGGAGTGAGCATGCACTTGTCTGACTGTGTGAGTCGAGAGATGAGCTGCAACTGGACAGTGTTGAATGTCTCTTTCTCCTCTTTTTTTCACTCATGGTCTTTCTGTGGTTATATAATAATCGAGCCTGAAATGCAAGTCAAAACCACTCCCAAACAAACAAACAAACACAATTTACTACATTTTTATCTCAGCCTCAAAGTGGAAAAAGCAAACCATGATCTAAATCAATATTATGAAACAACATTGAACATCTGATCTATTTGGCCCAACTCTCTAGCCTAGAGACATAATCAATTCCCACAAATGACTTTGTTAACAAGAACAACTGGTGTGTTATTGACTGACACGTGTTTGTTGTGAGGGAATTTATTGATTGTGTGTCCTCTCTTTCAAATGCTTTTCTCATTAAGAAAAATGCACAGCGCATTTGATAAACGTAATAGGGAATTTATGTGTATTCAGTACCTGGTCTGACAGGAAAAATAACTGAATTCCATGCATTAGGCGGTTACAGGCAGTCCTTTGTGACAGTATGTTTGACGGGATGGGAGTTCAAGTCTAGGCAGGTCAGAGATAAACATGGGTCTGTGCAAGTTTCTCTGCTTGACTCACCGCTATAGACAGAGAAACAAAACAAGTGTCCCTGAAGTGCCAGAAATAAATGGTTGCGATTTGTGTTTCAACTCTGTGAAAGTTGGATTTAAGTTGTGTGCAAGAATGCAGCTTTCCAGCCCGACTGAGCAAAAACCTTGATGTAGGCTACATCACATTACATAATATCAAAACTGATGAATGATGGAAAGGCCAACTGAGGGAAGAAACACAGTTAACACTTTATTGAGATAGGATTTGTTGTCATTGTTGTCTAGTATCCTTGTTTAGGGGTTAGGGCTATTCTGTAAAGTGCAAATAAATAAAAAATGACTGGCCTATTTTATGCTTTAATTTTTATTTGTTACAAACCAGTGGTTCTTTATTTGGTAAACCCCCCACTGTTAAATACATAAAATGGGAAATATAAGCCATTTGAGCCAAATGACTTTAAATTCTAGTCAAAGAATATGAAAGATCGGCTCAAAAGCAAGGATGCATATAAAATAATGAACATGATGTACAATTCTCCATTAAATGCACTGCACCTCTATAAAAATAGCAGCAGTGGATCCATGAACACTTGTATAATCTAATGAAACAACAAGTTTTATTAACATTTGTGGACCTTCTTGTTTGCAAGAGAATTCCTGAGAGGTGTTTTTTTTTTACATTGCATTATATTGTTAGAAACATGGTTCATACACTTTCCAATAATATAGCTTTTTATTAATGGCCTATATTATAGCCTGTTAGACTATGTTACATCTGCCAGACTCCTGTATATGGGTAAAGTTGAATCATTTAATTAAATCTATTATTCAAGGAGTAAAATTCCTCAGTGAACATTAATTGTAGTTTTGAGACATATAGGCTAAATAACAGAAATGGCTGAATGTTTACTCATTAAAATGGCGTTTTCCATTCAGATTGCAAATAAATGATAAAGTGAAAAGGTTATTTAATGATGTGGAACTAGTCTATGTGTAAAACAAAAGGATTCTTTATGACTGTAAGGTGATAGTTTACTCAGCGCTTTCTGGTAATGTGGAGGGGGGGTGTTCATATCCAGGCTTTATGAATAACGACTCAGCATTAGTAATAACAAAAGCACAACTCAAACTGGAGCATACCTAAGGCCTGCACCAATGAGCGCCGAGCTCATTCACACCGCGGCCAATGACTGGTCCCGGGGCGCTCGCGCACAGCCGTTTGAAGGGCGGTCCTCGGCAGAAAAAGGAAAGTATGGATCACAGAGCAGCGGAGTTTCGGTGGGAAGGTAGACACCCAAAACGGTAAAATATCGGTAATATTTCAGGCTGAAAGTCATAATAAGTATATACATTTTCTGTTCAGTAAGCGTGTGTTCCTTTTATTAATCTGTAAATTCTGTTGTATGTTTATATAAAGTTTGCCAACTTGTGTTGGCAAGTTTTTGATTGATTAGTCAGAGAGATAATCAGAACCTTCATGGCGTTGATAGCGACCGACCAGGGCTGCAAACTGAACGGTACGTCGGCGGTTTACGGCAGAGTTGGACCAAGAAAAGAAGTCTATCAAGGCAAGACGGAGAGCTTTAAAACTGCCAAAATGCAGCCCAAAGAAACGGACTATTCAACAGATGGCCTGCCCAAAGCCTTCCTGCACAGCCTGAGGACCCTGTTTGACATTTTGGATGACTGTGGACGGGGATATGTCCACATCTCAGAGATCGAGAGCCGCTGGCAGGGCGCAGACACCCGGGATCTGCCCGGCGGAGTTCTTAGCTGCCTCAGGAGGGTCACCCCACCGCATGGCTGCCTCACCTTTGAGCGGTTCGTTGCGGGGCTGCGGTACTCCATGCTCAACCCGGAGAACAGCAGCCACTTTAAGGCCCAGGCTGCTGTGCACCCGCAGCAGGTACCAAAGCAGCCCCACAAACCCGCCCCGCTGTCCACATGCAGTGTTGGGACACGAGTTGAGAACAAGGTCCGTCCGCTGGGGCCAAGCAACGTGACCAACACCCAGCCGCACCGGGCGTCCTCCCTACAGAGCCGGGGCCAGGCCGGAGGAGGGTGCCGGGTACCCCGTGTCTGGACCGGCGCCGTACAGCGCGGGCTTCGAGAGGTCCGGGCGGACTTTAGAGCGGAATCCCGCCGCTCAGGGGGGCGGCTGTTACCGGGCCGAGCCGGCCCATGCCACCAAACCAACGCAGCCCCAGCAGAGCCGCGTCAGGTCCATTGAGTCGCTTGCTCTGGAGTCACCGCAGCTCCAAGGACCAGGTTTGTGGCATGTCATATAAGTAAATGAATAAATAACGTTGTCTTCAACAAGTCAGAACCCTGTCTGACAAAATCTAGATGTAACAGCAGCATACACTGACACTAGCACAAATACAAAACCGCACATAACTCTGATCTCATCTGCCAATCAACAGTTCATACTGCTGTCACTTCTACCACACATTTCACTGATTAAAAATTCAATTAGTGCGATAGAAGTCTCTTTTTCTAGTTTGTTTAGCCCATAAATGTCAGGGAATAATGCGAAATACCTATCACAATTTTCTGAAGATGAAGCTGAAGCAGTCAGATAGGCAAAGATATTCAATTTGTTTTTCTGGTTTCTAGGAAATATTAATCTATGTATGATAATTTCAGCATTGCTGTCTATCAAAGGTTCATGCAGGATGCTACTGTCTTTTCAATACTCCCATCACATGTTTTGAATTTATTATTTAAGGCTCTTTTTGTTTGTGTCTTAGATTCAATTTGCTGCTGACCTAAAACAAAGACAAAATCTTATTTAGACACCAAAAAATGTGCCTGAGGACGAGTTAGAAGTGGAGCTGCTGCGTCCCTAAATACACTTGAGACTGAATTTCCAAGAGCAAGCCTGCATAACTGAGTTGATATGTCCATTGCAGCCTTGCCAGCTTCGATCTCATATTCTCATTTAATTGGATGCAGTGATCCATGTAGTACACACTAGTGCACAATGCCTGCAGTGCTTGCAGGTCAGTGTTTGTCATCCAGAGAGAGCCTTGCAAAAGCCTTGTAAAAATGGTTCATTTAAAAGGGAGTCTTCGCTTGAATCTCAATGGGGGTCAACAACAATAGTCATTTGTGGGTTTTGACAACACACTTCTCAGGTATCAGTATTATGTCACAGCTCAAACAGACCCTGTTTAAGGGCCTCTACTGCAGTGGGTGACTAGTTGAATAATTGCCGTTGTTAACTCCAGGTCAGGTCAGAGGTTGTGTCAGAAATTCCTGCAGAAATGTATCTATCTTGAGGTGTTGCCTCGTGGAGGGAGCAAAGACTTCCCTGCCATTTGATTTGTTCAGTTATTCCACAGTGTCCTGAGTGTAGGTTAGAGGAGTCGCTGCTGAGAAATTTCCATCCCATTCCCTCATTATCTCGTTCATACATACAGGCTCTCGCTCTCCAACTCTCGTTTTTCTTCCTCTCACAATCATATCAGAGTACTTTCACATGCTCTCTCCTTCTCTCACACACTACACACACACACATCAACTAGAGTCAGTCTAAGTTTGCCTGATCTCTTTTCTGACAGGCCTGTCTGGAGCTATAAGAGTGACACTCTCTTTGTTGAGCCCTCGGGGCTTTTACTGCTTACACTACTTGCTCTTAGTACAGTGTTTTTAGATTGATGGACAGATAGACTAAAGTCTAAGTTCGCATACTTTTCTGTACTTTCGGTCAGTTTTTTGTTCATTCAAATGCAAGGAAATCTTAATGCTACAATATACAATGACAGAACCCCAGTGCCCTTGTGCACAAAGCAAGGTCTGCGAAGAAATGGTTTTCTGAGTTTGCTATGAATGAACTGGACTGACCTGCACCTCTGCCTCATCCAACACCTTTGGGATGAAGCACCCAACATCAGTTGCTCTTGTAGCTGAATGAGAGCAAATTCCTGCAGCCAGTTTCTAAAATCTTGTGGAAAGCTTTTCAGAGGACTGGGGGCGGTTATAGCAGCACGTGTGTATCCAAAAATCACACTTGGGTGGAAGTCTTATGTCCACATACTTTTGGCCACATAATGTAGACAGACAAACAGACCATCTGAGTCCATGCTGTAATCTCTCACATGCAGCCAAACCCTGCTGGATTAGGCCAGATTACAGCAGACACACCAGGCCTCACTGAATCACGGCAGTGGTGAAATCCTCCCTAACACCCTGGACATTGCCACAAAGTCCTGCCTCTATCTCTCTTTCACTTTCTCTTGGTTTTTGGAAAGCAGTAGGGGTGTGCTCTTAAATCTACACATCTGATAAATACCTCAGTTGAGATGAGGGAAATACCACGGAAAAATACCACATTGACATGCCAAGTTTACACACTCAATGAGACTGAATGAGAGTGGAAGGAAGAAATCTTTTTAAATGTTGTCTTTGGAATAACTTAATACTGTGTTAAAGTTGAGCTACTACCCACTGTAATTTCTAAATGCCACAATTTGCCTATTACACTGTTATTGTGTTCAACCATCTCACCTCGGTATTGGAAATCCCAGTATTTTCTAAGAACTTGCTTTAGGTTTCTGAAAGGAGCATTGATATAAGGAGGTTGTCCCCTTGTTGTTGAGATATCTGAGATGTTATCTCTATAGTGTTAAAATTTACATATACATATTTTCTTATGTGAAGTATTTTCCTCACTGTATATGTGAATAAGTATTTGAACACCCTGCTATTTTGCAAGTTCTCCCACTTAGAAATCATGGAGGGGTCTGAAATTGTCATCGTAGGTGCATGTCCACTGTGAGAGACATAATCTAAAAAAAAAAAATCCAGAAATCACAATGTATGATTTTTTAACTATTTATTTGTATGATACAGCTGCAAATAAGTATTTGAACACCTGAGAAAATCAATGTTAATATTTGGTACAGTAGCCTTTGTTTGCAATTACAGAGGTCAAACGTTTCCTGTAGTTTTTCACCAGGTTTGCACACACTGCAGGAGGGATTTTGGCCCACTCCTCCACACAGATCTTCTCTAGATCAGTCAGGTTTCTGGGCTGTCGCTGAGAAACACGGAGTTTGAGCTCCCTCCAAAGATACTCTATTGGGTTTAGGTCTGGAGACTGGCTAGGGCACGCCAGAACCTTGATATGCTTCTTACAGAGCCACTCCTTGGTTATCCTGGCTGTGTGCTTCGGGTCATTGTCATGTTGGAAGACCCAGCCTCGACCCATCTTCAATGCTCTAACTGAGGGAAGGAGGTTGTTCCCCAAAATCTCGCAATACATGGCCCCGGTCATCCTCTCCTTAATACAGTCCAGTCGCCCTGTCCCATGTGCAGAAAAACACCCCCAAAGCATGATGCTACCACCCCCATGCTTCACAGTAGGGATGGTGTTCTTGGGATGGTACTCATCATTCTTCTTCCTCCAAACACGGTTAGTGGAATTATGACCAAAAAGTTCTATTTTGGTCTCATCTGACCACATGACTTTCTCCCATGACTCCTCTGGATCATCCAAATGGTCATTGGCAAACTGAAGACGGGCCTTGACATGTTCTGGTTTAAGCAGGGGAGCCTTCCGTGCCATGCATGATTTCAAACCATGACGTCTTAGTGTATTACCAACAGTAACCTTGGAAACGGTGGTCCCAGCTCTTTTCAGGTCATTGACCAGCTCCTCCCGTGTAGTTCTGGGCTGATTTCTCACCTTTCTTAGGATCATTGAGACCCCACGAGGTGAGATCTTGCATGGAGCCCCAGTCCGAGGGAGATTCACAGTTATGTTTAGCTTCTTCCATTTTCTAATGATTGCTCCAACAGTGGACCTTTTTTCACCAAGCTGCTTGGCAATTTCCCCGTAGCCCTTTCCAGCCTTGTGGATGTGTACAATTTTGTCTCTAGTGTCTTTGGACAGCTCTTTGGTCTTGGCCATGTTAGTAGTTGGATTCTTACTGATTGTATGGGGTGGACAGGTGTCTTTATGCAGCTAACGACCTCAAACAGGTGCATCTAATTTAGGATAATAAATGGAGTGGAGGTGGACATTTTGAAGAAAGACTAACAGGTCTTTGAGAGTCAGAATCCTGGCTGATAGACAGGTGTTCAAATACTTATTTGCAGCTGTATCATACAAATAAATAGTTAAAAAATCATACATTGTGATTTCTGGATTTTTTTTTTAGATTATGTCTCTCACAGTGGACATGCACCTACGATGACAATTTCAGACCCCTCCATGATTTCTAAGTGGGAGAACTTGCAAAATAGCAGGGTGTTCAAATACTTATTTTCCTCACTGTAAGTGCTCAAATAAAGGACCATGACGTTTTTTTTGTCCTATGTAATTTATATCTGAATGTTTCTGCTACATGTATTATCACTCTGTGTTGAATTCAGTGTGCACCATGTAATACAAGTCATGCTGGATTGTTGGAACCAAGCACAATAAGGGAGGGAGTACAGCTCCCTCCTGTGGTATACACTGGCAACCCAAATGCATTATCGGTTCAATTAGTGTTTTGCCTGTAGTATTCTTAGTCTTCTTCATTACTACAGATGTGGATGTTTGGCCGGTGAAACTTAATCTCACATTTGTTAGATCAGGGACTAATTTAGAATGGATGTATGAAAAATGAACAAGAATTCGAATACAATGCAATATTTATTTTCAAATCTTTTCATAAAGGATTGTGCAAAATGAGTTTTTTCCCCCTATACTGCTACCAGTAAAACTCCAGACTACAGTGTTGGACTGAAATTGATTAAATCTCTCTGTTTCACATTTGTGTAGGTGTGGTGAAATCAGGGTTACCAAGATCTCAGAGCGAATCAGCAACAGGATTTACTGGCTGCTCCAGGCGACATGGGCGGAGTCGGGAAGAGCAGAGGCGGCATACCATATCCAACGGGGTGGATTATGGAGTGGTTAGTACACACACACACACACACACACACACACACACACACACACACACACACACACACACACACACACACACCACACACACACCACACACACACCACACACACACCACACACACACCACACACACACACAGGAACATTGGGGCAGCAGGTGACTCACAACCATAGATTCAAACTCTACAGCCCTGAAGGCAGAAATACCTGTAGAAAGTGACAGAAGGAGAGAGAAAAGGAAGCACATGGAAACTACGAAAGAGGGAAGAAGTCAAGTTAGGAACATGCATTAATGGGATAGGAATGTGTACAGATGGTAATGGTGGGGAGGAGAGAGAAGCTCAGTGCATCATGGGAAGTCTCCTGGAAGTCTAGGCCTATAGCAGCATAAATAAGTGATGCTATGGCAGAATATGATCTGTTTTCCTGGTTCTTGACAGTACATGCGCTGCAGCATTCTGGATCAACTCTTAAGGGACTTATTCGTGCATATGCGTGGACTAGTTTTTCTGCATCATTTTGAGACAGGATGTGCTTGATTTTTGCAATGTTACATAGGCGAAAAAAGGCAGTCCTTTAAGTTTGTTTTATGCGGGAGATAGAGGACATCCTGATCAAAGATACGTCGGAGATTCCTTATGGTGGTGTTCGAATAGGATTGGTTGAAGCACAGAACCTTGTGGAACTTTGGAGTGCATAGAAGATTCATTGTTAACATGTACAAACTGAGAGTGATTTCATAAATAGAACTTAAACTAGCTTAGAGTGGTTCCTTTAATGCCAATTAAATGCTCATGTTTCTGTAATAGGATATGATGGTCAATGGTTACAAAGATGTAACAAGACATGTACAGAAACCTTTGTCTGATGCAATTAGAAGGTCATTTGTAAGTTTCACCACTGCTGTCTCTATGACTGAAATCATGAAATAAACTATTTCTATTATGTAGAAAGTCACACAATTGATTGATGACTGCTTTCTTAAGGATTTTAGATAGAAAGGGAAGGTCTATAGTTGGATAAAAAACCTTATATACAGTCTATGATAAAAACCCAAGAGTGGTGTGGATACCCAAGAGTGGGCTTTTTAAGAAGAAGATTAATTACAGCTACTTTAAAAGACTGTGGCACATTAAGCAGCCTAGTTGGGATGGGGTCTAAGAGGCAGGTTGATGGTTTAGATGACGTTAGTTGGTGAGTATGGAAGAAAATCAGTCTAAATATACATCAGATTTTACAGCTGTTTCTAAGGTCCCTGAGATAAATCTGTACCGGCTGAGGACAGGAGGTGATGAATTTTGCCTAATGGTGTGTAGTCCAGTAATAGAGACTTATTAAATAGTGGTCCGATAAAATGGGATTCTGTGGAAAGACTATTTAAATGTTCCATATTTACCACCTCCTTAACCAGTGCCTCGAGGAATGTAAGCCAGATTTCAGCAAGACAAAATAAATCATTAGAATAATCTGATAATAAATAATTTACTAGTACAGCTTTATATGACAAATATCTGATTGTCCACATTTAATTCTTTGTACCTTTGCAGCGGTGGTGTTCATTTTTATTAGGTTTTTATGCACAACTCCTTTTTGTTTACATTTGATTTAATTAATTTAAGTGATTGGGGTCCAGCCACCATTGCTAAAGGGTTTTGGGTGGGTAACCGACAGAAAATTAAACAGTTTTGATAAGCGATTAATAGTTAATTATTTTTCAAGCAAAAATGCCCAAAAATGGCAGGTTCCATCTTATCAAATGTGAGGATTTACTGATTTCATTGGTCTTATGTGATGGAAAATCTTTGGCTACAGGACTGTTGGTCAGACAAAATACGCAATTTAAATCTGTCATCTTTGCACCAGTTTTAAAACTCACAAAATAGGACAACCACTGACCAAAGTAGGTAAGGTAAGTAAGTAACCAAGGAAGATGATATTTTTGAACATTCCCCAGTGGATGGAAAGTCTTACACATGATTTAAAAATATATGTCAGAAAATATTTTATTTATGTGAAAAGTAAATAGTTGATGCATGAAAATTCCAGGAAAAAAACAAAACAAACTCCTACTTCTACTATAGGCTCTTCTCCATTTCACTTTCTATTGGTCCCCACATTCCCCTCCCATCCCTATGCCCGCTGCCTTTCCCCCCATTCTGCCCCTCCCACACTCCAGTTCGGAGCTCCTGCCTCCCTTTGCTCTCAGTCTCTCCCCCTGCCTCACCATTTCTCACTCTCTCCAGTTCGCCTCCTCTCCCTATTTCTCTCTCTGTTTGTGTCGCCGTCTCCGTCTCTTGTCCCCTCGGCCTCTTTGTCTCGAGAGGCAGACTGACCGACTCCCCTCCTTCTCCCTCCCCCCCTCCCTGCCCCTCTCCTCCTCCCCCTTCCCCGCGGCCCTCCCACCCTGGCCGACTTGGCCCGCTGCTGCCCTGATGGTAGTGAGCCGGGTCGGGCCCAGGGGCCTGGTAGAAGTAGAGGACTCGCTTGGCCGGCCCGGCCCAGCCTGGACGGCTGTGTGGGCTGCCTACACTACCGTCTTCATCCCCCTCAGTAGTAGCCTCTACAGCAGCAAGGCCCTGCACTTTTTCCTTTGGGTGAGTAGGACAAGAAGAGGGAGAAGGAAAGGGAGAGGTGGTTGTAGAGGATACTGGAAATTTAAGTTTGTCCTTGAGATGGTTTTTCAGGATTTCAAGATGTGCATCAGGTTGTCTTAATATTTAATTGTGACAGCTGAAACAAAAAGAGGAGATGAAAAGTTGTGATCAAGTTCACCAGCTGGGAATTCAATGTGTATGCTGTACCGGATAGTTAAAACGATTTATTTGTGCTAGTTTTAGGGACTTTGAGGCTTGTTTGTTGGCTCTAACCGACTGTGGTATTATCTGGCTTTGGGGTTTCAACTAGTGCTGAGACAAGTAGTCGATTAATCGTTTAGCAGTTTACCAGAACTTAATCGACAAAGTTTCAAGTCATTTATTTAAATATCTTTATACTGTTGGCTGTTGACAAAACAAGCCAAGGCAGGCATTTATTTCTATTTTCTAAATATTTAATTGATTAATTGACCAACTGCTAAACTAAAAAAAGCCTACAGATTATTCTGTGTAAATAGTTGTTAGTTGCAGCCTTAAACCATCCTTGTTTCAGAGACTTTTGGACTTTGGCTGTTTCATGGTGCTTTGTAGATGCAATTTGAAAGGCCGTTATGCTCTCTTTTGTGTTTTTAGCTAAACAGCTTGTGCAACGGGTCATGTTATTGTATGTTGTGTGTATTCATGCCTGCTCATTCAGCCAGCATACAAACATATGTGCAGACACTTTTCCACAACCTTTTTGCCTCTCTGCTCCCCCTCTGCTCGTATTTCCTTTTCTCCGCTCCCTTTCTTTTTTAGTTTTGAACAGTGGGTTCTCCTGCCTGTGGACTACTGCACATTCATGCAGCCTGACACTGGGTTATGCTTCATTCTAGACACGGACCCCTCCTCTTCGCCTAAACTCCCCTTTCTCTCTTCCTCTGTGTGTACTCTTGCTTTAGGCTCTTTGGGAAAGAGTATGTTAAACAGAGTTTGATTGATTTTAGACTCTTAAACTCTGTCCTCTTTTAGTTTACTTTCACTACATGTGTCCCTGTGTATGGACTGTGTTTTCAATAGCACTGTTGTGCGGTGATGAGTGGAATGTACTGAGCTACACAGGGGATGGAGGGCTGGAGCAATGGGTGGCTAGAAAGATGACACACCAGGTGGCTGAATGCCAGCAATGAGGCCTGGACTGTAGCAGTGTGGTGCATGGACAGCCTGGTCAGCACAACTCAATGCAGCCTTGCTGGGGTTCACACACACACACACACACACACACACACTGGGGTGGCCATAGTTGAAGTGGGTCCACCGTTTACCCCATTCTTAGGTTGCTGTGAGGTTGCCATGACGCTGGACTGATTGCTCCTCTAAACATTGTTCAGGATGGGAGCGAGTCCGGCACAATTGCTATGGCGCCATTGTCTCCGCCAGCACAAAAGAGTTTGCTGCAGATGCCCTTGTGAAAAGATGGGAGTTTGTCTACCATGCAGGCTGCTGGCAGCCCAAAATCAATGATTAGATTTAATCTTGGCAGCAAACAGAAATCTCTCTTAGTGAAGGCAGAAAAATTAAAAGAAATGTTTGGGTCTCTATGTAAGACCTGTAGAGAAAGTGAAATCAGGCAGTTTTGTTTTTGTTTTGTTCTTAATCACATTTTTCTCTTTCCTCTTCCACCATTTTGCTTCCAACAACACACCTTCCTGTGTAACTTTCAACTCAACTCACACAGTTGAAGCAAATGAAAGAGCTGGAGCAGGAGAAGGACTCCCTGCTGGCAGGCCTGGAAGTGGTGGAGCGGGCCCGCGACTGGTACCAGGGCCAAATCCACAATGTCACAGAGAGACAGCGGCAGATCGGCCAGAGCTCCCACTGCACGGTCGGTTCAAACACTAGTCTAAAACTGTTCAAAGGCACAGAGAGTGTTGGAGATGCAACCTGTTGTAATTCGTTGTTTGGTGATGTTTGATATTTGGTACTGCATTCTTTTATTGATATGGCTAACTGGATAACAGATGTGTAGCTGTTGAACTAAGTATTTTTATATTTCCCAATAAAACAACAAAACATAATTTTAAATGGAATTAATGAAAAATTAAGGAATTGTTTGGACCTCCTCTTCCCATTGTTCATGAGTTTTAAAATGCCTTCAGTTCAGCATGTCATTCTGAGAAAGGTACTTTGGATAATGTAGTAAACTGCTAACTGGATAACCAGTTAAGGCAGGTTAAGGGGAACTTTGGTAGACCCGACATAGAAAAGTACCAGCCAGTGTTAGTTTACTGTATGTCTTGATGCCTTGATTGACGTTTTTGTGATGGCAAATAGTTCCTTATTTACAATTTTAAGGCAATCTCCTTTTACCAAAGCTTGTCCTTTGTTTGTTAAGTCATCTTACCTCCTTGTCATGACATTTTCAGACCTTTCACCACTTTCTTGAATTTCACACTAATTGTCTTTTATGTCCCCTCTTCTCAGGATTTCTTCACAGAAGCAAATCAGAGTCGCATTAATGTTCTAATACCCAAACTGCAAGAAGTCAACCGCTGCCTTAACGACCTTATTTCCTGCACTGGGATGGTGAGTGTTGTCTGTCCACTGCTCACTGATTCATGTGATTGTATTAAATGTTAAGTGATTCTCCTGACTGCCAGTTTTATTAAATGGCCTTTTCATAATGTCCTTTTAGCTAATTAGGGGAAATTATATGAGACGTGGTGATCTTCAGTCATACTAGCGGCACGGCTCTAGTGGGTGTCAGTGTCATCACTTTGGTCTAGACAGAAATATTTCAAAACATCTAGTGGGAGAAATACCTGCATAACTAATGACAAGTTTACGGAGCCACGCTATATGTTTTGCGTTCCATTTTTATCCTTCTATTCCTTCTGACCCATAGCCGTGTCTGTTTCTGCACAATGCCCCAGAATGGATCAGATTTTACTTTGAACTGGGTATTGCCTATGTAGACAAACCGGACTAGTCACCACAGGAGGGTGCTATGACCATCCCAGAGGAGGGGAAAGAGAGCCGGATAGGACCCTGGCCCAGCTTGTCCGGTCTGGACAAAATGGGACTCTGAATCACAGTCTGTTGTGCCCCCATCTTTACAGAGACCTGCTCCATCATCCGGGATCAAGCACTCGGCGGGCGCATTGTGTTCTAAGCTAAAAGAGCACAAGACTCTGGCGAGATGAGAGGAGGCAGACTCTGTGTTTACATCGATGATGTTTGGTACTCAAACGCAGTCAAAGTGGATGGATGTTTCCCAAATGTGAGACATTTTATGTGAAGATGAAATCCATATTATCATCACCATCTTGTTGCTGCTGTTTACGTTCTCGTGTAGCATGAAGGGACTACAAATGTCCATTTCGAGGTCAATGATGCTGCACAGTCTCTTTGCTCTACACTGAGCTCGTGCCTGGATAGCCTGTGTCCTCTATCCACCAAGCCTGCTCGCCCAAACCAGCCCCACCCGAGGCTAACTGATACCATCCGTGGGCTCCGTACTGATCTCAGAGCCGCTGAAAGAAAATGGCAAAAAAACCAAAGACCCTGCCGACCTTAAGGGCTACCAACTCTTCCTGTCCTCCTTCTCAACAAGCATCAGTGCTGCCAAAACTGCGTTCTATAATGACAGAATTAGCAGTGCCACTGACTCAAGGAAATTATTTTCCACTTTTAAAGCGCTACTAAATCCTCCTCAACCACCAACAAACTTGTCTGCTGATACCTTTGCTGCCTTCTAAAAGATAAGAAGATAAGATAAGAAAACCTTTATTTGTCCCACAGTGGGGAAATTGCGGTTTGCAACAGCAAAGACAAGAGCAGAGATAGATAAGTGTACAAGATAAAGTGTCAGACAAGAAAGTACCGTTCTTACAGTAAATAAAAACAAAGTTACTTTACATTAAATAAGACTAAACAGACTATGCCTTATACAGTACAGTCTTCTGCGGCATAAATAAATACTGGTAATATAAAAGTGTTATAGAAGGGCAATGCACATAAGTCAGATATAGCAAACTGTATTATACAATAATCCAACCATCACTCCAAGCAGGGTGGTTAAAAACTGTCCTTTTCAGACCATGTTGCTGCTATCTCTCGGTCGTGCCGCTTTGCTCTATACAACATCAGAAAAATCAGGCCCTACCTCACTCAATATGCCACCCAGCTTCTGGTCAAGCCATGGTTATATCTCGCCTCGACTATTGCAGTGCCCTCCTAGCGGGTCTTCCAGCTTGTGTGGTGAAAGCCTTACAAATGGTTCAGAACGCAGCAGCGCGACTGGTTTTTGATCAGCCCAAAAGGACTCATGTCACTCCATTGCTGTGTGACATCCACTGGCTACCCATAGCCTCCAGAATCAGATTCAAGTCACTAATTCTTGCATACAGAGTGACTACTGGGTCTGCACCCATCTACCTAAACTCCATAATACAAGTTTATGTTCCTTCTCGCCCACCACGCTCCTCCAACGAACGCTGCCTGGCTCTGCCGCATCTGTAACACCACGATGGTGGAACGAGCTACCACACGCCATCAGAGCAGGGGCGTCCCTCTCTAACTTCAACAAGCTCTTGAAAACGCATCTCTTCTGAGAACACTTCCTCTTATAACACCTCTAACTCCTAACATCTAACATGCACTTCCTGTGTTCTTCTTCTATCCCCTACAATTATCTTGTATTGATTGCACCTTTTGTTAACTCTAACTTCTTTCCCTAGGTATTTACCCCATTGATGCGATATGTGCTATTAGCGCTTACTAGAATTTATTGCTGCTTTTATTAATATGTATTGTCATTTGTAGATCTCGTGCTGTATTTGATGCTCTGTTGATGATTGTATGTTGTTCCTCAAATGTAAATGTAAATGATAAATAAACTACCTTGATACTTGATTAGTGAAAGTAAACTGAAATGAATTCTTAGATGAAGAGGCCTCTCCAGAAGAAAGTACTACAGTAATCTGCAGAATGTTTCATTCGTGAAAAGTTATTGTGCTCAGGACAACTGCACCGATACAGATGGATGTATTTTGAATGAGCTGGATCCCAGACGGGGTCCCACTGAGGAAAAGGAGACATCTCCAGAGGCGGAATTATTTCTCAAGGAGACCCAGTTTCAAATGGCATATTGCCTCTTATGATAAACTCAAACCTTTCAGCACTTATGTTAATGGCTTAAAGTCTTTTCTTACTCGTAGGCCATAATCATTACATTTAGAATACATCCATCTGTATCGGTGCAGTTGTCCTTGTACAGTAGCTGTTTATGAACGAAACCAACATGAATGAACAACAACCTGCAGATTACAGTTCTGGTTTCTTCTGGAGTCTACCTTAAATAGACATAGTTATGGGAAGCTGGGTTAGACATGAAATTAATGACACTGGAAAAATCTAAATTTAATTCTATTGGTCATGTCCGGGGTGAACTTTTCTTTTTAACACCGGTTCCTCTTTGTTTCCCAGCAGTCATTTCCTTCCAGCGGTGCACAGACCGCAGTGCTCTCAGTTAACCCCCAGCCTCCAGGTCCAGCTCCTACGCAAGCCATCCAGAGACTGAAGGACCAGAACCGACTTCTCACACAGGTTTAACACAGACTATTAAAAATTTATTAGACTTGCAGAACAGTTACCAATCAGTGCTGTTGTTTTCAGGCACTTTAGGAGTATGGGTGTCACTCACTTCATTTATTCTTCTTCTTTTCATAAAGGAGGTGACAGAGAGGAGCGAGAGGGTCGCCCAGCTGGAGCAGGAGAAGTCGGCCCTGATAAAACAGCTTTTTGAGGCTCGAGCCCGCAGTGCGCAAGACACCAGCACAATGGATTCCACCTTCATCTGAAAACAATTACACTCCACCCACCACCATAGCATCACAATGTTTCAACTAGGAATGATCATGACGCTGGTCTGGAGCAAAACTTTTATAAGACTGACTGTTGTTTACCCAAACTTGTAGCAATGACGCACCTTCAGCCATGACACGCCAACACCCTTGACCGCGGCAACATGTGACCACTCCACCACAAACCAAATCCATGCACTACCCAGATGGGAACACTCCGAGGAATACCTTACCCGAATAAGTTGACCCAAGAGTCCAAAGACTCTGTTACGGCCTTTACGTTTCACTGCATGATCACTTGAGCTGAAAAGACTGAAACCCTTTCAGGAAACCAGTCAGGTCTCATGATCCCTTCACTCCCTGCAGGATTACAGCATCTGCAAGATCTCCGCTCCCAAAAAAACATCAGCTTTTTACTTCTGCTGCTTGAATGCACGGGCAACGGGACAAAGAAAACACAAATTTTAACTTAGAGGTTCAAAAAGTAATTGGACAGTAAGGGAGGAAGGTTTCTTTTGGAATAAAATGCCATATTCTTACAGTTTAATATGAAAACACATCATCAGCTGCATCTGCTTGCTGTGACCCATCAATTACAGTTTTGTTTAAATATACTTTTTCCCGAAATATTAATGAGGTACACCCATGTCTTTTAGTATTTCCTTCCTTTTAATGTAAATTAATAATAATAACATGTTTACCTGACGGTGGCTTTCTGGGTTTTAGAGTGTTTAATTTCAAACACTGAGAGACAGGAATTACTGAAAAGAGCAGTTTTTATATTATAGTAGCATGTTTAATGTTAAGACTTTTTTTTGGTTGAAAGAAGAGGTGGGAGGACAGCCTACAAGCCATCGAGATGTAGAGGCAGAGACAGTTGAGAGAAGTTTGCACGTAGAAGAGAGATGAGGAGGATAAACATGGTAGACGGTGAATGTGTCAGAGCCTGAGCTCCAGGGTTGAGAGATCTTCTGATGTCACGTCGGAAACAAAAGAAAATCACTTTGGCTATTTAGTGCTACAAACCTCTTTATGTCTTTACAGTGGATTCTTTGCATGGGGTCATATTTCTAGCTCAAAAAATATTTATCTTCTGAAGAGATTTCTGAGATTAAACATTAGCACAGATGTGAAAACCCACTTTGTCCTCGTACATATCTCTCTTTACCAGGATCAGCCTGGAAACGGTTGGCTTTAGACTAAAACTTTAAAAACATTCAGCCATCCACAAGTTTACAAAAGAAATATTTAGTTAGTGGGTGGCGGTAGAAAAAAAAACATTGTAGTTTTATAATGGATCTGTATGGTACCGCTGGGATGACTGCACTTAACATATTGTTGATGTCTGTTTCCCACTTGTTTGATTGTATGTTTCTTGCTGCTCAAATTACATTATGTGTGAGTGACCCTCTTTTTCCTTCTGCTTTCTATCGAGAGTACTCGAACTTCAGATGGAATGTTAAATAATAAACACGACCAAACCAAGCTGACTGTTCTGTGGTTTGTTGCAATGTGTTTCTCTTTGCTGAACTGAACTACAATGCTGCAGTCTACATACCTATATTAAAGTATATGTATATATGTTGAAACCAAATCAGTCCATAAGCATGTCTCAAATATAGTATCTCACAAAAGTGCAAATATTTATTTTAATATATCTTTTCATGTGACAACACTTTCATTCAAATGACACTTTGCTACAATGTGCTGTTGTACAGCTTGTATAACTTTAAATGTGCTGTCCCCTCAAAATAACACATCACACAGTCAGGGACGTGCACAGGAATTTTGAAGGGCAGTTGCTCTGACCTGAAAAAAGGCACTAAACACAGTATCCAAAATGTATTAACAATATAAATGTCACCAAAATACATATGAGAAAAAGAGTTCCTTATATTATTGTTTATTGTTTTTTTAATCATCATTATTTATTTATTTTTTCCTTTTTTTTTTATTTGAAAATAAATAATCTAGATTGAATTGACAGATGGGGAAAACTCGCTTCTAATAAAATATTAAATAAAAAAACGCTTAGATTTCGGAAAAAAATACAATCCTTTTTTAACCTTTTGGCTTCCCGTACATTCAGTTGCGCTTCTAGCTCGTATTCACTTCTGTTGGTACGTATCACGTATGGTAACTGGGCAAAACTACGCATGATTTGTTGTAGTATGATTGCATAAAGGAAGGAAACAGGAATTCCGGTAGGGAACAGAATCGACTGACGTGCAGGCAGCGCTGCAGCAGTGCAGCCACTTAAACAGAGTTTGCCCTTCCCCTACTGACTTTCACTTTCGGTGCCCGAATGGAAGTGAATGAGGCTTTGCGATCGCGATTATTTTTTTATTTTATTTTATTTTTCTCGGAAGGGCGAGTCGGAAGGGCAACTTGAGTCAGGAAAGGCAAACGGGCAGTTGCCCGGGCAACCAGAGCAACCCCCCTGTGCACGTCCCTGCACACAGTATTAATGTCTAAACCGCTGGCAAGAAAAGTGAGTACACCCCTAAGTGAAAATGTCCAAATTGGGTCCAATTTGCCATTTTTCCTCCCTGGTGTCATGTGACTCCTTAGTGTTACAAGGTCTCAGGTGTGAATGGGGAGCAGGTGTGTTAAATTTGGTGTCATCGCTCTCCCTCATACTGAAAATTCAACATGGCACCTCAAGGCAAAGAGCTCTCTGAGGATCTGAAAAAAAGAATGGTTGCTCTACATAAAGATGGCCTAGGCTATAAGAAGATACCCAAGACCCTGAAAATGAGCTGCAGCACAGTGGCCAAGACCATACAGTGGTTCAACAGGACAGGTTCCACTCAGAACAGACTTCGCCATGGTCGACCAAAGTTGAGTGCATGTGCTCAACGTCATATCCAGTGGTTGGCTTTGGGAAATAGATGTATGAGTGCTGCCAGCATTGCTGCAGAGGTTGAAGGGGTGGGGGGTCAGCCTGTCAGTGCTCAGACCATACGCTGCATACTGGGATGGACATGGATTACTGGAAGCATGTCCTGTGTTCTGATGAGACCAAAATAAACTTATTTGGTTCAGATGGTGTCAAGCATGTGTGGCAGCAACCAGGTGAGGAGTACAAAGACAAGTGTGTCTTGCCTACAGTCAAGCATGGTGGTGGGAGTGTCATGATCTGGGGCTGCATGAGTGCTGCCGGCACTGGGAGCTACAGTTCACTGAGGGAATCATGAATGCCAACATGTACTGTGACATACTGAAGCAGATCATGTTCCCCTCCATTCAGAGACTGGGCCGCAGGGCAGTATTCCATGATAACGACCCCAAACACACCTCCAAGACGACCCCTGCCTTGTTAAAGAAGCTGAGGGTAAAGGTGATGGACTGGCTATTGAGCATCTGTAGGGCATCCTCAAACAGAAGGTGGAAGAGTGCAAGGTCTCTAACATCCACCAGCCGTCATGGAGGAGTGGAAGAGGACTCCAGTGGCAACATGAGAAGCTCTGGTGAACTCCATGCCCAAGAGGGTTAAGGCAGTGCTGGAAAATAATAGTGGCCACACAAATATTGACACTTTGGGTCCAATTTGGACATTTTCACTTAGGGGTATACTCACTTTTCTTGCCAGTGGTTTAGACATTAGGCTGTGTGATGTGTTATTTTGAGGGGACAGCAAATTTGTTATACCTTTACACTCACTACTTAACATTTTAGCAAAGTGTCATTTCTTCAGTGTTCTCACATGAAAATATCTATTCAAATATTTACAAAAATGTGAGAGGTGTACTCACTTTTGTGAGATATTGGATATGTTGCAGAAATGATTTACATTTAAAGATGTCACTTTATTTTTCTTCCATGTGAATTACACAATTTACTGTAACCTTGAGGTTAATTTTGTCAAGAGAAAAGCCTTTCCAGTGTGTTTCAATAGGTTTTTGTACAGATGTTGGTGGTAGATGACACATCAACACAACTTAAACTTTGCAATTCATTCCTCTCTGTGCTTTTACTTCTCTTTTTCTGCTTCCACATTTTGATATGAATTTGGTCACGTGATGGGTTCGTTTGAGGATGATCTGATGTAACTCATGCACCGAATTTACTCTTCACCTTCAGATGTCACTAGCTCTGCTTTTGTGTAGCTGAAAACTCATTTACAATCATAAATATATCCATTTATCCTACAACTTTAATGATTTTTCATAAAGAAACTTATACTGTATCATTCTAGCTGAGCAACATGCATGTTGGTCACTGGCTTTTTTCATTTATTGTTCATATGCTTAGATGTTTGAGCTTCACTTTGCAGAATGTCTGTGCAGAGTAAGTTTATTTCACATTTACAAATAGGCTCAAGGTGTGAAGAGTTCAAGCGTTTCCACAGCCGTTTCCACAGCCAAAAAAAACAAAGACCTCCTTCATGTCCATAGTGGAGGGCTGTCACTGACAGCTCCCTGCAGTTCTTAACCGCAGGTTCCTATTATGCTGATTGCCCCTGAGTTTCCCTATTCTGAGCATATTCTTAGACCCTCAAGCAAGGTGTTAAAGAACCAAAACCAGACAAAGCGTTTATCACTTGTCTAGCACTTTAACTTTAATAGAGACATAAAAAGTCAAGCACTTTTTCTTTCAACTCAAATGTATTTTGAGAGCAGGCCATTTCTTATGGAGGACTGATCCTGACAAATTCAGAAATAAATAAAGATATAAATAAATGCTCAATAAATAAATAAGCATCCGATTAAATGCACAAAAAAATTAAGTAAATAAATGTAGGCAGTAATTAAATTATACAAGGAGACATAAATGTATATGTATTTTAGCTTCTTTACTTATTCACCTTTGTAATAATTACCTTATTTATTTATTGTCCGTTATAATCTTCAGCTTTATTTATTAATTACTTATTTTTTAAATGTATTAATTTATGTGTGTGTTTTAATATTTTTGTCTGTTTTATTCTTCCGTTGCATTTCTACCCTATTTATTTCCCCAATGGTATTTATTTCTGCCTTTATTTTGTCGTTTTTACATTTCTCTATGCATTTCTGCCACATTATGCAAATGAGGAGGGGCTGTGTCTCAAGGGGTGACCTTCTCCCCTATTGGTGGACCAGTCAGACCTGCACACATCAACAAGCTTGCTCCTCACACAGTCAGATGGCTTCCTTCAGTGCGCTGAGGTGTTTAGAAACTCTATTTGAAGACAATACTACCAGCCATGTCTTCCTTCTTTTTCGTGTGGACGCTCTGACAGACAGTGTTTTCAGATTGCGGCATGCATGGACACAGAACTGCGGTATAGGGAGAAGCACACGGTCAGCTAGCTGCAGCTAGATCTGGAGTGCACTCATATTCAATTCTTTATGGTAAATTCAGTTTTGTCTGTTTCTCTGCAGAGCAGGTGCTCAAAGTATAAAATGGAACATGGAACAATGATTTAAAATGAGGCTGTTCTCCAAATATCGATACAGAAATATATTGTGGTGCATCCCTTGCTGATACACGTATACTGATGCTTCTGTATCGATACATCAGCAAATGTTGTGACGCAATCTTGAAAAAGCTCTAGCTTTAAAACACTGTGGGCTGACATAACTTACAGGGAACAGTTGCTACTGAGGGGTTGCTGGGGATGTTGCTGCTGCTGCTGCTGCTGCTGCTGTTGTAGCTGCTGATACTACTGGAGGTGATCTGTGACTAGATTTATTATAACAAACAAAGGATATATATTAGACAATTACAAATATGAGCCAATGACAAGATGTAAAGATTGCTGACAGTGTTTGGGAGTGGCTCACTATAACTGACCTGCTGTAGTGCTGCAGCTGCTGCCAAGACTGACTGCTACGAGAAAATAAGAGGGAGATGCTCACAGAGACTGCTGCACACCGAGAGCTGCAGGTAGAGGAAATAAGATACCAGATTCAAAAAAGTGTGGGAAATAATCTGAGAAGGAAACAGTACTGGGTGAAAGGACGAGGTTGGCCAAGGTAGGAGTAAGAGTGAGACAAATCTATAGACAGGTGTGTGTGTGTGTATGTGTGTGTCTATAGGCAATATTTTGATAATGATTTTATATATTGCATTGTGAATCTGAGATATATTTGGATTTTGATTGACTATCTGTCTAATCATAAATCTAAATAAATAAACTGTGTGTGTTCTTTCTGTTGGCCCATAATAACCATGACAGAATAGCATTTACCTTTCAACATTTCATACCTTTGTCTGAAATCTAATAGGGCCTAGGTATTTACCCCATTGATGTGATATGTACTATGAGCTCTTACTAGTATTTACTGCTGCTCTTACTAGTATGTATTGTCAGTTGTAGATCTGTATTTGATGCTGTTGATGCTTGTATGTTGTTCCTCAAATGTAAATGTATCTGTGTATAGAAGTAATGTTAGCTGTCGGCACAGTGTTAGCCGGCAGCTAACGTTACTGCTACAGGCCACACACAGCAATATGCTCTCTTTGGGTCTTTCTAGCAAACAACCCACAACAACCACATT